AATCTTTGAACAGATAAAATCGATTTGTTGTAGATTCGCTCTATTTCTATCCACTATTTCTATCATTCTTACAGAATCTTTCAGAAACCAACAAACCTCTCAGATGCTTCATGTTCAGATCGGGCGAAGAAGAGTCAGAAGTCTGTGTGGACACCAGCAGCAGCCTGCACATCTACTCCAACGTCCAAACATCTCACTCAGTGCTGAACCTGAAGTGAACTGCAGACCCAGCAGCTCTGTGAGCTTCCACTGGCTTCCAGCTCCGCGAGGACCCTGTGAGGACTGGGTCTGGGTGCAGCTCAGCAGATAAGAAAGGAGTTGACTTTATGCAGCTGAGCAAGTTCATGTGACAACCATGTGAGGCAGCAGGGCTCTTTGTTCGACCTGGTCTCATGACTCCAGGCCGAGGTAATCCTTCTGGGAGTCTCATGACCCATCAAGCTTCAACACAAGAGCATTTTCATGAGCTGCTGGGACCAGACTCAATAAATCTGCTTTTAAAAATCCCCCAAAAACATAACCGCCCAAAACCTCCCAAACCCTGATCCTCCATGTGCTCAGCTTTAAACTGAAACCTGTTGAACCTGCTCCCCCTCAAGATTTTGGTTTGTCTTCGTGGAAACTGAGTCCATCTTCTTTGGTTTGAATCGTTTTGCTTCTTTACTCCAGTTTTTACATTTGGTTGCTTTTCCACCGCATCTCAGAGAGGAATTCTGTGCTCGTTTCTTCACTACGGTCACCTCCACGCAGGAGTTTAGAAATGCAGAGCCCACTTTAATTCAGGACGGCCTCACCTGTGGACCAACCAGACTTTCTAACATTTTATCATGGCACGTTTTTCCCATTTTTAGCCTTTAGAAAAGCACCGCTGATATAACTGCATCTGGATTCTGGGAAACACTCGTGAAAACAAAGTCTGCCTGCACAGCAGACCGAACACACATTCAGTTCATATGACAGTTTATGTGCTGGAGCAGATTCATTCAAATACCCGATTGTTCCATGTTATGCTTTTTCATTTTTCATTTGCACATTGATTCCTTTATTAGAGATTTTACAAAAGCTAATTAAGCACAATTTAATTAAAGTTTAAAGTCACCCCGATATTTTTCTTCTGACCCCCCCGAGGGTCAGAAGTCCTAGAATGAGCTACCTGACTGCATATAAAGAAGGATCAATAATCGGGACTGAATCAGAAGTCTGAATATATCGGATAGTTTTTAAAATTGACTTGCTGAGACAGAGCCATACATTTTAAATGCTTATCAGTGAGAAATAACAACTAAATAACAGCACAGCAACACATTTATCATCTTTCCTACATCTATCGGGTGCCTCATAACAAAATACAAATTCATCCTAAATTCATTCATGACCCCTGCTAATCAATCAGAACGTGTACTTTTACTTCTGATACTGTAAGTAACACTGATGGACCTCTTCACAGGGATTTTTATTGCAGTACTTATACTTGAAAATTTAGTGGAGTATTTGTACCGTGCTTCTGTGCAGTAATATTCTGCTAAAGTACTTTTAAAGTGAATAAAATAAAATCAAGGAGTGTTTTCTCAACGAAAAACAGAAAAAAGGAAGGACTCAGCAACAATGCACAGGGTGTGTGAGAGAGGCCTGGAGATTTGGATTATCAGGGGTTTAAATGAGATTAATGCTGTTCAGAGGAACTACTTGTTTGCATAATGAGCTGTTGTATTATGCTCTATTTTATTTCACTCAGAGACAGGAAGTGGACCGCAGCTCTGAACCAATCAGAGAATAACAAGGTAGGAATAAACAGCAAATCTCTTCAGTCGGCACAACAGCAGCACAACGCATTGATGGGGAGGAATCAGCAAAAATCAAACACTTATTCTCTTTGTTGTAGTACATATGTAGCACCAACACCAGTTGGGGTTGTACAACAATCCCTGGTGGTCTCTAGTTTGCACGTGTGTTTCCATGTGAACTGGAGCCTATTTCAATTTATTTCTATAAATATTGTATGTATGTATATATTAAAAATATATACTGATGATAATTCGTTCAACGGTGAAAGTAATATTTAGGAAACTGATAAACCTGTGCCAGAAGTAAACGTGTAAAGTTCTTCTTTTGGACTTGCATCAACACTTAACTGAGGTTCATCAGGGCAGCTGTTACACAATCTTTCTGACAGACACACAAACAGCAACAAAAGATTTCTGTAATATCTTAAAAAGTAGCATCAAAAAGTTAAAATAAAAACCTCAATGAATAAATGCTGGAAGAATTTAAAAAGAAAAGAAAAGAAAAATCAAGCATTTGTGCCAAAAAACAAAAACAAAAAAACCTGCAGTTCCCACGATCGCCACAGGCCTCCATTTTTAAAAGTCCAACTTTACAGCAGAAATTTAAAAAATAATGTTTAAAGCCCGCGATGTGAAACAGTTTTGGGTTCTCTTTATATAATAATACCTACTTCGTACGGAGTATTTCAGTTGCATTAAGGCTCAAAATTGGCATTATGGCATTGGCAGCATGTCTTTTTCCTGTCTTCCTTCTCTCACCCCAACCAATCACAGCAGATGGCCCCGCCTCTCCCTGAGCCTGGTTCTGCTGGAGGTTTCTTCCTGTTAAAAGGGAGTTTTTCCTTCCCACTGTCGCCAAAGTGCTTGCTCATAGGGGGTCATATGAAGTGCCTTGAGGCGACTTTTGTTGTGATTTGGCGCTATATAAATAAAAATGAATTGAATTGAATTAAGTCTGAGGTGGATGCTTATAAAAGTGGTTTTAGCTGAAATGTTTAACTGGTTACCACTAATTAGATTTACTGAATTGGGTCACATGCAGGTTCACTATGATGATGCCTTTTGAAAGTTTTCATACAATTATGAATCCATTTTATTAATATTATCAAACTCATTTTTATATATGAGTATAATCTGTGATAAATATCACAGATTAATGTTGTATTAATAGAGAATCCAAAAATTCTTTGCTCCAGTTTGGGAGAAGGATATTCTAGGATTTTTTCTAATTTAATTCTCATGTTGTTCTATGAATAAATGTCCTTTCAGCCTTTCTGGCACTTTATCTTACAAAAGGTTTTGTGCAATCCTTTTCTTCCTATAGGAAAAGTGTCTGTCTTAGTTTTTATAAACAAGTATAACCCTCGATTCATTCAGTCAATTTAATTTGTTCCTTTTCTTCATAACTTCTAAAAACTTTTCACAATATGAAACGTTTTTTCCCATTTTTGTCATTTATCAAATTAACGGGAAACTAATTAACTGAGGAGATACAGGTGAAGCCTGCGTCTGACAGAAAGGATGTGGTTCGAGTGTTAAGACGAACGTGTTACTCGTCTGTGCGACGTTGGCGTCTCTGTTTTATTAATTAGATCCTTTGTTGTTCGCACTTTAACGTGTCTGATTTCACAGTCACATGTTTTCCAGGGGAAATAAACAGATGATTGTGTTCATTGAGCAAAATCAC